CACACACACACACACACACACACGCACACACACACACACACACACAACACACACATACAGACAAACTGATAAACGAACAAACGTACATCGATATTTTTGGATAAGACAAAACTTTTTAGCTTAAAATTATCATATACATTTTAAATCAGTTATTCAAAAATGGCAGTGTTTCTAGAAGACAGGATAAGACACAAGACGCCTAAGAGGCCAGCCATGAGGAAGATGAATAGGAAAAAAGAAAAAGAACCATCCCATGCATCCACCCCAACCCCTCCCCGCTCCCTCATACAACCCTCATTTTTCCTACACCGATATTTGGTCCTAAACCTGACTTTGTATATCATAACATAAGGTAAAAGAAACCTTGGCATTCAAATCCTCCTCGATCACTTGCCTCACTTCACTCATCCTGCTTTCGGGTGCTCTTGAATGCAAAACACACAGCGTCTCGGTGTATTCCACCGGAAGAAGGTATTCCAAAGCAGCCAGATGCTGCCCGACCTAAAAACCAGCAGTAATCTATGCGAAGCTATTTTTAGTGAAATTTTGTCGCACAAATCTTCCTTAAACGAAGGAGGCTCTGCATTCCAATTCTGTGCGTCGAAAATCATCAGCCGCTATGGGATTGGGGGTTCACAACGAATACACCGGAAACTGAAGATGATTTGAATAACTCGGAGACAGTGAAGATCACGGAAATTTGATTCGCTCGCAGGCAATTTTGCCGAAAACCAGATTCGTCAGAAATGAGGTTGAGAAGCGAACAAAATCAAAACGAAGAAGCAACATTTCCCTCAAATTTTCCTCAAAAAATTACTTTTATGTAAACGCCGCCATTCTTTTTTGCCAATTCAAGCAATTTCTGGGCACTTCTTTTGTGCGCTGCGCTTAGCTTCTGACGATAAGCTGCATCTGTGTACGGGCAATTCCACATTGTCCACTTGTAATCAGCGACAATACACATTACCTAAACGTTACTGGTGATCATCAACTGCTATTATTGCTCCCGCACGGTGCAACAAAATGCACTTTTCCATTCTTCAGGGGAAAATGTCTTCAGTACTCATTAACGACCCTATTCGACAACGATAATTCAACTAAAAGATTTTGAAAGTATAGAAAATTGCGGGATAACGGTAGTTAATCCCGTGATTTCGATTCTTTTTTTTTATTTCACCCCTTGTTAAGATACGTTTCTACTGCTCACAACAACCATGAAAAGCATGCTAGCCGCGGTGATCACGAGAAAATGCACTTTGACACGTAGCGATAGGCGAAGTGACCACAAGAAGGGTGCAAGAACTCCGTGAAACCAAAACTTCCAAAACAGAGAAAGAGGGAGTGTGACTCAAAACGGCTCTCACCAGTCACTCGTACCAACCGGTAACACAGTGAAGACAGAGATGCGGTGAATTAAAGTTCAAAAAGAAGTGCATTTATTCAAAAAAGCACGCTTATTTCTTCTAGCGCACATCCTTTCAGTGCAACATTTCGAAACACAAGTTCTACTAAGCTACAAGCTCTGAACGTGAGCAATTTTATCGGTGTTTCATTTTGTGCCAAAATCATGGATAAACAACAGAAATGCAACACTCTTTCATCATTTCGCCACCTTTAACCGGGCACTGCCCTCTCTTCCCCTGTATTCACTCTCGCTGAGAGACAGAAACATCCGGGACGTAAACCGAGTGGTAGCAAATGTCAATAGCAACTACCCACTCTTATTTCAAAAGTTGCTTAGAAGCAAGCTGATGGCGGCGGTTTTGACTTCCTAGCATACGTCAGTATCAGTTTTACCGTCGAAACGAAAGAACGAATCGCAAAGGGATTTTCTGTTTTGCCGGCAGAACCGAACCTTTGACCTAGTGCAGGACAGCAATGCTACCCCACTACAAAGTCTGTAACAATAATGGATAGGGGTTTTCTACATTTTTATGCGTTTTTTTGCATCTAAGCAATGCAGAAAACGCATACTGACGAGGGGTTGCCTGTGTATGTGTGTGTGTGTGTCTGTGTGTGCGTCTGTACCGATTTTTCATCTCAAGACCTGTAAAAGCTGCAGGGCTAAAACTTTGAGACCTTAATTTATGTGTACGTACGGGACCAAACCCCAACGTACGAGTCCGCCAAAGTTTTTTACGGCAAGCTAACTTGGGAACCAGAAAGCTGGAAAGCTGAAATTTTAAGGGAATGTTCCCCATCCATGTAGGTATTAACGGCTCAAACCCAGCCCTCGGATGTGAGTGAATCCCACGTATGGGCCTGTGAAAGTTTTTTTCGGGTAAGTTGCTATTTCGGGGGACCTGAGAAGCTAGAAGACTAGGATTTTAAAAGTATGCTTCCTGAGCGACAAAAATCTGTGGGAAACTATGCAAAAAACTCATCTTCTCACCGGCAACTGGTGCGTTGGCTAGTCATTATTATTATTTTATTTTTCACAAATTATGCCACGCTAAATTCAAAAATTCATTTGAATTTATAGCAGATCCATGATGGTTTCCTGCGCGGGGGGAGAGGGGGGCTACAAGGGGTACCGAACAGACTTTTGTACAGTAAAACAACTGCTACCTGAGTTCCGGGGAGGGGTGAAAGGACCATCGCCCTCTCCCCTGCCCCCTGAATCCGTCAGTATTCGTATTCACATTCAGTGA